GAAATTTTATTTCTTATAAAAGATGGAATTTTCTCCAAATTTTTTAGTATTTCTGCTTCAGTAATTAAAGGTAGATATACCGTACCTTTAACATCTCTTATGTCTACATGCAATTCTTGCGTGTTGAGAAAATAGAAAATTTCATTTTTCCTTTTTGAGAAATTTAACATTGGAATGTTTAAAACTTCTTCTTTTTTAAGATATAACTTTGATTTTTGAATCTTAGTTAAAACCAATGTTTTGAAAACCGGACCGGTCATCGAACCGGTGAAGCTACCGGTTCAATGGTTCATTGGTCGGACCAATGGTCGAACCGGTCGAACCGGTTTAATTAATATATAATTTCTATTTATTTTATATGTACAATATATAATTATACATATTGTTATTATTAGTTTTATAGTGTATATTGATATTTATTTACATAACAAAAAATCATGCATATTCTAATAATTTTAGCTACATGGTAACTAAGTCTACACATAGACTATATTTTAATTATTGTGGGCTTATAACTTATAACCAATAGGTTGGAATATATTTTAATTATTGTGGGCTTATAAGTTGTAATCATTAGGCTTTAGTTTTCAGCAATAAGGCTAGGGTCCAAGCAATAAATAAAGGCGTTAGATTTCCAGCAACAAACAAATAAAGCCCAACAATGAAAGCCCAATTTCTAATAAGCCTTTGTTTTTGAAATCCACATCTCCCACATCGGAAGCAGTACAAAACTAATTGTGCTATTTATGCGCTCACAACAAGCTTTAATGCATGAATAAAATGGACCGCCTGCCCGTATAAGCCGCCCCCGGTTGACTGGTTTTGCCGATTTTTCACCGGTTCAAACGGTTTGCACCCTGTTTTGAGCCCCTACGTTTCTAAACCTCAAACCGGACCGTTATATGGGCTGATTTGCGGTTGAACCGGTGGAATCGGCTGGTCCGGTCCGGTTTTCAGAACACTGGTTAAAACATCATGTTTTATTGCCAAACTGGCTATAAAACCTTTTTCATTTTCATTAAACGAAATTTGTGAAAGATCACTATGAGAACATAGATCTTGTTCTATATTTTTGTTTTCATTATCCGTATTGGAATCATATTGTAAATAGGTTTTCCAGCTGTCTCCACCTTAAGATGGGATAACGAATACTGGTATTCCCCATTATGTATTTGTTGATATCCGACTTGGTCTCACATTGATAACCGACTTGATATCACAAGATTAAAGACGATTATTAATGGTCCCTCCAGAAAACTTACTCCAAATCGGTATTTTCTGAATTAATTACCGACTTCCGAGATTATTAAAAGTACCGACTACTGAGACAGATACAAGAAACCGACTTCATTTCACCAACACTATGGCTAGACGTATCAAACCTTATCTATTCAAACCGACGGCCAAAAAGTTCAAATATCCAAGTAAAAAACAGAGCTGTAAGCATGTGATTGGATCATCAAGACAACGGAGCAATCATTGGTGTTCCCCTATTCCAAAACACACCACTTTATTGAAGCTGCTCAACATTAAATACGTTCTTATCCATCTTTAGCAAAAAGATAAAAACTACTGTACTATAAATAGCAGAATTTATGATAGTACGAGGATCTTTTTTCCGCACATTGTACATGGACTTAAATGATCTCGGTTAAGAACGAAAAAACCGACTTCCTGTACTATTGTGACATTATCAATAAAATAAGATTACATATTTAACTTTGTTTAAACACACTCTGTTGTTAATTTCCTCGTTGTTAATTCCATACAACAACAGTTTAGCACTAGAAGGAGGGCCGGCCGCCGCCTCTGATTTGTTGTGTGTTTTATGTAACACCTAGTTATAAACGTACACAATCGTCATGTCAAGTTTTGGGCGACACGAACGTAATCCAGATATTGGAATCAATCGTCACCCTGCTCATACAACTAAAAATTCAACTGTGCAATCTATGCCGATAGATTACTCTGCTTTATTTCAAGATCCAGAGTTTTTGAGAAATTTAACTAATTTCATGGCACAAACAAAAGCAGAACCAACTGCAGCAGTTCATAATCGAGCTCATCCTTCACCTGTTCGACAGCAAAATTATATTCCTGCTGCGTCACACGCAACCTCCCATCCACGAATACTTGAGTCACAACACAATATTGCCACTCATAATCGTGGTGAAGTTCCTGTTCAAAATCATATCCCAGAAGCAGCTCAACCAGAAGTTACTGCTGAAAGTCATTCTGGGCGTCGTCCGCAGCAGCCGGCACCCTCGTTGTCGGGGACTTCACAGCATGGTCAACCATCTAATTTACGACGTACCCTTGAACAAAATCGATTCCGACGTGAGCATGATGAGTTACGTCGTACTATCGAAAGGAATCGTTTAAGACGCGAGTCGGAGGAATTGGAGATGCTAAGAAAGAGAATTGCCGAGTTAGAAACTCGGCAAGATGATCATGAGGAATCTCGACGGCAAATTCCTATGTCGAAAGAGGTGTATCTAGAGGCTGAGACTCCCTTGGCTTCTCATTTGACCAGAGAACCTCTTCCTGACAAAGTAAAGGTTCCTCAGATCGGTTTATACGATGGCACCTCTGATTCAGACGCTCATCTGGGTCTATACACTTCATGGATGGATCTCCAAGGGGCAACTGACGCGCTCAGATGTCGGATGTTTTCATTGACCTTGGGACCTCGAGCCCAAATATGGTATCATTCCTTACCCCGGTGTTCAATTTCCACATGGCGACAATTAAGAACGGCTTTTCGATCTCATTTTATCGGGGCCTGAGTGTCTTTAATTCCCAAAGAATTTATTGCCAATATTGTGCAAAAAGATCATGGAAGTGTAAAAGACTGTATTGCTCGATTTAATGAACGAGTACAAAATATGGAGCAATGTCACCCAGAAACGTTGCTGATCACTGCAATAGATGGATTAAAGCCAAACTCATTATTCCGCTGGAGTATTTATCAAAACAAACCGACTTCATTTCAAGATTTTCTAGCTCGAGCTCAACAGCATATCATAGCTGAAGAATCGATGTCGGTTCCTGCCCTCGACTTTCCTTTGCACAAGTCGAAAGTCGGACAAGAATTAAAAAATAAAAAAAATAAACCCTTCAAGCTAAATAAATCTCGATTTGGGAATCCAAAGGTGCCTGAGGTGCAAGAAGCTAGAATCAAATATCTTAATAAAGTCAAATCCATTTATCAGACGGTTTTCTCAGCAGGAGCAGCAACCATATTCGAAGAATTGAAAGGGAAAGGAATTCTTTCTGATCCTCGATCTGTGAGAACTCTAGAAGAAAGACTTGATAAGACGAAATATTGTTCATATCACAAGTCGGCTGGTCATGATACCGATGAATGTCTTGGTTTGCTTTCTGCCTTATTACGACTCTGATGGGGTTCGGTCGAAGCTCTCCATTCACACTAAGATTGATTTATTTAAAATAAATGCAGAGCTGATCATAAGGGAAATGGCTAGTAAAATGAAGGAAGCCATGAATGTCTTACTGTTGAATTTCAAGAGAAGACGTAAGAAACACCGATTGAAGGCAAAATGGTGAATATTCTTCAAGTTGATGGGACAGATTGTTCGCATAAGGATTAATCCACGGATTGAAGACATAATTTCGTCCATGTCATGTAGCCCAATTGAAGTGTCCATTATTTTGTCTATTTTCAGCATTTGTGAGACCAAAATGTCCTTTAAGTTGTCCTAGAAGTCAAAGGGTCATTCAAAAGTCATGTAATCTTATTTATGTGGTCAAAACTATGTTCTTAGTGCTTAATGAGTCCCAAAAACGGGATTTACTCATTACCACAATTTGTAGCCTTTAAAAAGGCCATTTTATGTTTTAATGATAATTGTGAATATTGCTGAATATTAAAAATCACTTTTGTGAGTTGAATTCTCTTTTGTTGAGTTTCAATTGTTTTTGAGAACTTATCAAGATACTTGAGCAAGATCTTGTGGCGTTCACCGTACCGAGGTTCCTAGCTGATTATATAGCTAATGGGTCGAGGTTCTCAAGCTCTCCATTCACACTAAGATTGATTTATTTAAAATAAATGCAGAGCTGATCATAAGGGAAATGGCTAGTAAAATGAAGGAAGCCATGAGTGTCTTACTGTTGAATTTCAAGAGAAGACGTAAGAAACACTGATTGAAGGCAAAATGGTGAATATTCTTCAAGTTGATGGGACAGATTGTTCGCATAAAGATTAATCCACGGATTGAAGACATAATTTCGTCCATGTAATGTAGCCCAATTGAAGTGTCCATTATTTTGTCTATTTTCAGCATTTGTGAGACCAAAATGTCCCTTAAGTTGTCCTAGAAGTCAAAGGGTCATTCAAAAGTCATGTAATCTTATTTATGTGGTCAAAACTATGTTTTTAGTGCTAATGAGTCCCAAAAACGGGATTTACTCATTAGCACAATTTGTAGCCTTTAAAAAGGCCATTTTATGTTTTAATGATAATTATGAATATTGCTGAATATTAAAAATCACTTTTGTGAGTTGAATTCTCTTTTGTTGAGTTTCAATTGTTTTTGAGAACTTATCAAGATACTTGAGCAAGATCTTGTGGCGTTCACCGTACCGAGGCTCCTAGCTGATTATATAGCTAACGGGTCGAGGTTTTCAAGCTCTAGGTACAATCAAACCAGATCTCCGATCTGGGATTCTGCTGCCTACATATACGTTTGGTTCTTGGATCAATATATCCAATGGGTCTCACGTGCTATCCGTATCAGTTTGGTATCAGAGCAATCTGGTATCTTCTTTTATCAATCTTTGTGTTGAAAAAAAAAAAGGAAACGAAAAAATCCTTGTATTTTTCTACGAGGATTGTTAAAAAAAAAAGAGAGATAAAATTTTGTTAGATAAAATTATGTTCGTTCGAAAAAAAAAAATACTAAAAAAAAATGTGCAACAAGGAGTGGAAGGATATCCTGCAATCAAGTTTCCAAACTTTGGAGCGGATTGAAAAAAAGATGTTTCGTATGAGGATCAAGTTGCCACCCAAATCTTCTGAGTACTTGGCCGCTGTACGTTGGGCGAACCACAAGGAGACGCGCACGGAGGCGCGAAGCGGGGGGCTGTACGTGGACAACACGCCCCAAGGTGGAGGCGTGGCACTATCGAGCAATTCTAGGGGTAAGGGCAATGAAGGTGGGATCTCCAATGAAAGGCGCAAGGAATACTTATTCTTGTTTGAGTTTCCGGGATATCTGAAGATGTGGAGACCACCAAACTCGTGGATGAGCACGTGTCAACCGAGTACAAAGATCCGCATTTGGTTGAAGACGAATTCAAAGATGTTCCAGAATCATTGGAGTATGATGGTCCTCCTATTTGGGACGACAAGATTGATGATGTTTTGGTGAAGGTCGATGCGGTCCACAAGGAGAAGACACCCAAGTTCGAAGATGTCCTATGTGATGTTGTGTCAATGCATGCTAATCATATACTTTTGGATTCGAGGACGAATCATTTTGAAGAAGAAGGGAATGATGGGGTTCGGTCGAAGCTCTCCATTCACACTAAGATTGATTTATTTAAAATAAATGCAGAGCTGATCATAAGGGAAATGGCTAGTAAAACGAAGGAAGCCATGAGTGTCTTACTGTTGAATTTCAAGAGAAGACGTAAAAAACACCGATTGAAGGCAAAATGGTGAATATTCTTCAAGTTGATGGGCCAGATTGTTCGCATAAAGATTAATCCACGGATTGAAGACATAATTTCGTCCATGTCATGTAGCCCAATTGAAGTATCCATTATTTTGTCTATTTTCAGCATTTGTGAGACCAAAATGTTCCTTAAGTTGTCCTAGAAGTCAAAGGGTCATTCAAAAGTCATGTAATCTTATTTATGTGGTCAAAACTATGTTTTTAGTGCTTAATGAGTCCCAAAAACGGGATTTACTCATTAGCACAATTTGTAGCCTTTAAAAAGGCCATTTTATGTTTTAATGATAATTATGAATATTGCTGAATATTAAAAATCACTTTTGTGTTGTTGAGTTTCAATTGTTTTTGAGAACTTATCAAGATACTTGAGCAAGATCTTGTGGCGTTCACCGTACCGAGGTTCCTAGCTGATTATATAGCTAACGGGTCGAGGTTTTCAAGCTCTAGGTACAATCAAACCAGATCTCCGATCTGGGATTCTGCTGCCTACATATACGTTTGGTTCTTGGATCAATATATCCAATGGGTCTCACGTGCTATCCGTATCAGTTTGGTATCAGAGCAATCTGGTATCTTCTTTTATCAATCTTTGTGTTGAAAAAAAAAAAAAGAAAAAAAAAAATCCTTGTATTTTTCTACGAGGATTGTTAAAAAAAAAAAGAGAGAGAAAATTCTGTTCGTTCGAAAAAAAAAAAATACTAAAAAAAAATGTGCAACAAGGAGTGGAAGGATATCCTGCAATCAAGTTTCCAAACTTTGGAGCGGATTGAAAAAAAGATGTTTCGTATGAGGATCAAGTTGCCACCCAAATCTTCCGAGTACTTGGCCGCTGTACGTTGAGCGAACCACAAGGAGACGCGCACGGAGGCGCGAAGCGGGGGGCTGTACGTGGACAACACGCCCCAAGGTGGAGGCGTGGCACTATCGAGCAATTCTAGGGGTAAGGGCAATGAAGGTGGGATCTTCAATGAAAGGCGCAAGGAATACTTATTCTTGTTTGAGTTTCCGGGATACTCTGAAGATGTGGAGACCACCAAACTCGTGGATGAGCACGTGTCAACCGAGTACAAAGATCCACATTTGGTTGAAGACGAATTCAAAGATGTTCCAGAATCATTGGAGTATGATGGTCCTCCTATTTGGGACGACAAGATTGATGATGTTTTGGTGAAGGTCGATGAGGTCCACAAGGAGAAGACACCCATGTTCGAAGAGGTCCTATGTGATGTTGTGTCAATGCATGCTAATCATATACTTTTGGATTCGAGGACGAATCATTTTGAAGAAGAAGGGAATGATGGGGTTCGGTCGAAGCTCTCCATTCACACTAAGATTGATTTATTTAAAATAAATGCAGAGCTGATCATAAGGGAAATGGCTAGTAAAATGAAGGAAGCCATGAGTGTCTTACTGTTGAATTTCAAGAGAAGACGTAAAAAACACCGATTGAAGGCAAAATGGTGAATATTCATCAAGTTGATGGGCCAGATTGTTCGCATAAAGATTAATCCACGGATTGAAGACATAATTTCGTCCATGTCATGTTGCCCAATTGAAGTGTCCATCATTTTGTCTATTTTCAGCATTTGTGAGACCAAAATGTCCCTTAAGTTGTCCTAGAAGTCAAAGGGTCATTCAAAAGTCATGTAATCTTATTTATGTGGTCAAAACTATGTTTTTAGTGCTTAATGAGTCCCAAAAACGGGATTTACTCATTAGCACAATTTGTAGCCTTTAAAAATGCCATTTTATGTTTTAATGATAATTATGAATATTGCTGAATATTAAAAATCACTTTTGTGTTGTTGAGTTTCAATTGTTTTTGAGAACTTATCACGATACTTGAGTACCGAGGTTCCTAGCTGATTATATAGCTAACGGGTCGAGGTTTTCAAGCTCTAGGTACAATCAAACCAGATCTCCGATCTGGGATTCTGCTGCCTACATATACGTTTGGTTCTTGGATCAATATATCCAATGGGTCGCACGTGCTATCTGTATCAGTTTGGTATCAGAGCAATCTGGTATCTTCTTTTATCAATCTTTGTGTTGAAAAAAAAAAACGAAAAAAACATCCTTGTATTTTTCTACGAGGATTGTTAAAAAAAAAAAGAGAGAGAAAATTCTGTTCGTTCGAAAAAAAAAAAATTACTAAAAAAAAATGTGCAACAAGGAGTGGAAGGATATCCTGCAATCAAGTTTCCAAACTTTGGAGCGGATTGAAAAAAAGATGCTTCGTATGAGGATCAAGTTGCCACCCAAATCTTCCGAGTACTTGGCCGCTGTACGTTGGGCGAACCACAAGGAGACGCGCACGGAGGCGCGAAGCGGGGGGCTGTACGTGGACAACACGCCCCAAGGTGGAGGCGTGGCACTATCGAGCAATTCTAGGGGTAAGGGCAATGAAGGTGGGATCTCCAATGAAAGGCGCAAGGAATACTTATTCTTGTTTGAGTTTCCGGGATACTCTGAAGATGTGGAGACCACCAAACTCATGGATGAGCACGTGTCAACCGAGTACAAAGATCCACATTTGGTTGAAGACGAATTCAAAGATGTTCCAGAATCATTCGAGTATGATGGTCCTCCTATTTGGGACGACAAGATTGATGATGTTTTGGTGAAGGTCGATGAGGTCCACAAGAAGAAGACACCCAAGTTCAAAGAGGTCCTATGTGATGTTGTGTCAATGCATGCTAATCATATACTTTTGGATTCGAGGACGAATCATTTTGAAGAAGAAGGGAATGATGGGGTTCGGTCGAAGCTCTCCATTCACACTAAGATTGATTTATTTAAAATAAATGCAGAGCTGATCATAAGGGAAATGGCTAGTAAAATGAAGGAAGCCATGAGTGTCTTACTGTTGAATTTCAAGAGAAGACGTAAAAAACACCGATTGAAGGCAAAATGGTGAATATTCTTCAAGTTGATGGGCCAGATTGTTCGCATAAAGATTAATCCACGGATTGAAGACATAATTTCGTCCATGTCATGTAGCCCAATTGAAGTGTCCATTATTTTGTCTATTTTCAGCATTTGTGAGACCAAAATGTCCCTTAAGTTGTCCTAGAAGTCAAAGGGTCATTCAAAAGTCATGTAATCTTATTTATGTGGTCAAAACTATGTTTTTAGTGCTTAATGAGTCCCAAAAACGGGATTTACTCATTAGCACAATTTGTAGCCTTTAAAAAGGCCATTTTATGTTTTAATGATAATTATGAATGTTGCTGAATATTAAAAATCACTTTTGTGAGTTGAATTCTCTTTTGTTGAGTTTCAATTGTTTTTGAGAACTTATCAAGATACTTGAGCAAGATCTTGTGGCGTTCACCGTACCGAGGTTCCTAGCTGATTATATAGCTAACGGGTCGAGGTTTTCAAGCTCTACGTACAATCAAACCAGATCTCCGATCTGGGATTCCGCTGCCTACATATACATTTGGTTCTTGGATCAATATATCCAATGGGTCTCACGTGCTATCCGTATCAGACTCATTGGACACCCACAAGTCCAAAGGTTTGCCAAGAATACTGATTATAAACGAAAGGACAGATTGTTAGACCTACCAGATGATGATGAAGATGATGGTCATCCAATCAATCCAAAGCGTGTGAGGCCAAGTGATAAAGAAGTGTTCATGATGAACTCGGAAGAAAATAATTCATTGAGAAATACTGAAACGATTCAACGAGGTGGATATTCTAATCCTGCTAATTCTCATCATGTTACCCGAGTCAATAACAGTAGCAATACGTCGTTTGAATCACGACGACAAATGAAGGCTTATGCTCGAAAAGCGTATAACTCGGGTAAAACTGTCTTGACAACCGACCTCCGAGATAAAATTAATGCTCGAAAAAATTGTCCGATAACATTCAATATGGATGATGCTAGCTATTTCGCTCACCCACATGCTGATCCTCTAGTGATAACGGCACCCATTTGTGGGATACCAGTACATCGCATACTGGTGGATACGGGAGCATATTCAAGCATTTTAATGTTGCGCACATTCGAACAAATGGGAATAGATCCAGCTGAATTGAAACCCTTGTAAAGATCAAGTACAAGGTTTTAATGGCACGATTACATCGACCATTGGTGAAATTACTATGCCAATTCGGTTTGCAATCCCTGGACACGCTTCTAAAGTTATCATGGAGACGTTTAAGGTGATGGATCTCAAAAACGAATATAATGCCATTGTAGGAAGGACAGCTTTGTATAAACTTCGTGCGGCTGTCTCGATCTTTCATTATGCTCTGAAATTTCCCACTAACTATGGAGAAGAAACTCAATATGGAGACCAATATGAAGCTCGTGGAATGGTGTGGGTTAAACCTTGGCATGAATCACGTTCTCCGATACACATGATGGAAAATGTCGGGGAAAACCAAGAGAAACATTCAACTCTTGACAACTCGGTATCCAATATCACCGAGATGGAAGTAGATCCAACTTTGAAGTCGAAAACATTCAACAATGATTTAACTCAAGACCGTGGGAGACGTCCAGGGAAAGAACCAATCAAAGAAGAAGATGAACTTGATCCCCGAACTCAATTCAAGGAGAAGAATAAATTCGACCGAGCTGAACCATCTGAAGATGTCGAGACGATTTATATTGACGATCCGAGTTGTAAAAAGCCACTTTAGATTGGGGCCAGTCTTCAAGAACCGATACGAACTCAACTCATCCAATTCCTTAAAGCAAATTCTGATGTATTCGCCTGGAAACATGAAGATATGAAAGGGATTGACCCCGAAGTAGCCTCTCACCGACTTAGCTTAGATCCGACAATCAAGCCAGTGGTTCAAAAACGGCGTAAACTCGGTCCAGACCGACAAAAAGCCCTTGAAGAAGAGGTTCAAAAGTTGGTCGACAACAAATTTATTCAAGAAACAAAATATCCGACTTGGGTATCAAATCCTGTTTTGGTGAAGAAAAGCTCTAGAGCATGGCGACTCTGTATCGATTTCTCTGACTTGAACAAAGCTTGTCCAAAAGACAGTTATCCATTACCACACATCGATTACATGGTAGACGTCACTGCTGGACATGAGTTGATGAGTTTCATGGATGCCTACTCAGGCTATAATCAAATTCCCATGGATCCCAAGGAAGCAGAACACACATCATTTTATTCTGCTCGAGGATTATACTGTTATACAATGATGCTATTTGGTTTAAAAAATGCAGGAGCTACATACCAAAGGCTGGTTAATAAAATGTTTGCTACGCTTATCGGAAATACCATGGAGGTTTATGTGGACGACATGCTAGTCAAGTCAGTTCGTGCTGCCGATCACATCAATCATTTGCACGATATGTTTAACATCCTAAGAAATTACTCTATGGTACTCAATCCGAAAAAATGCACCTTCGGAGTCAGTTCGGGAAAATTTTTGGGATATATTGTGACTCAGCGCGGTATTGAAGCTAATCCTCAGAAGATAAAAGCCATTCAAGATTTAACACCTCCAACATCGGTTAAAGGTGTTCAAGCTCTTACTGGTCGGCTCGCTGCCTTGAATCGATTTATATCGAAATTTACAGATCGTAGCAAACCTTTCTTTGAATCAATCAAGAAAGGAAAATGTTTTGAATGGACTGAAGAATGCCAGCAAGCGTTAGAAAAGATTAAAGAAACACTTCTGGAAATGCCGACTCTACAAAAACCGATACCTGAAGAGATGTTGTACTTATATTTGGGAGTAAGTGAAGCTGCTATCAGTGCTGTTCTCGTTCGAGAAGAAGAACATCAACAATATCCAGTCTATTATATCAGTAAAGCTTTACATGAAGCTGAGTTGCGATATCCACCAATGGAGAAATTAGCTTACGCTCTTATTATTGCAGCTCGAAAATTATGTCCTTACTTCCAAGAACATTCAATAACAGTGCTCACTTCATATCCTTTAAAGTCGATTCTTCACCGACCTGATACTTCGGGAAGATTAGTTAAATGGGCAATAGAACTCGGCCAATACGATATCCAGTACAAACCGAGAACAGCAATTAAAGCTCAAGTTTTGTCAAACTTTATTGCTGAGTTCACTCCAGTAATAGAAGCAGTCATTGAAGACCAAACATGGACTTTGTACGTAGACGGGCCATTGACTCAACATCGGGCTAGTGGAGGAATTGTTTTACTTGATCCATACAACAGAATGTTTTGTCACTCTGTTAAATTTCTTTTCCCGGCAACAAATAACGAAGCCGAGTACGAGGCCCTATTATCCGGACTAAACTTTGCAGAATCCATGAATGTCAATAAACTCCGGGTATTTTCTGATTCCCAGCTATTGGTGAACCAAATCCACAGAGAATTCGACGTTAAAGAACCTCGTTTGTTGCCATATTTGACACTTGCAAAATGGAAAATGTCAAAATTCGACATACAGTTAGAACATGTTCCTCGTTCACAAAACATCCCAGCCGATGCGCTCTCCAAGCTTGCATCAAGTACTGGAATGGAGAATGTTGAGTATGTCCAAGTCGGTCATCAAGAATTACCTTCTACTTCACTAACTGAAGTTATGCATACCGAGTTACAAGAGTCACCGACTTGGATGACGCCAATTATAACATATCTCAAGACAGAGGTCTTACCTCAAGACCCAAAAGAAGCACGATCCCTCAGAATTCGGGCGGCCCGGTTTACATTAGATAATGAAGTCCTTTATAAGCGAGAATATTCTGTTCCTCTGTTGAAATGTTTAACCGAGCAAGAGTCAACATATGTCCTTGAAGAGGTTCATGAAGGAATTTGTGGAAATCGTAATGGCGCGCGAGCATTAGCATATAAAATACTTCGGCAAGGATATTATTGGCCAACCCTAAAGACTGACGCTGCAAATTGGGTTCGCAAGTGCATGAAGTGTCAAATATTCGCCCCAAATGTTAATCAATCTCCAGAAACTCTCAAGTCGGTATATAGTCCGTGGCCATTTGCTAGATGGGGGATTGACTTAATTGGCCCACTCCCAACCGCGAAGGGAGGTGTTAAATTTTCCATTGTGGCAGTTGATTATTTTACGAAGTGGGCAGAAGCTGAGCCATTAGTAACAATTACTGAGCAGAAAGTTATCGATTTTATCTGGAAATCAATCGTATGTCGGTTCGGAATACCGAGTTCTATCGTTACAGACAACGGCCGACAATTTGAAGGAAAACAACTTGAAGCTTTCTGTGAAGAGTATCAAATAAAGCACTTCTTCTCTTCCCCATATCATCCTCAATCCAATGGACAAGTCGAAGCAATCAACAAGATAATTAAAAATGGCTTGAAAGTCTGACTTGATGCCGCAAAAGGGACATGGCCTGAAGAATTGCCAAATGTGTTATGGGCTTATAGAACGACAGTTAGCCATGCAACAGGAGAAACACCTTTTTCCCTTACTTACGGATCAGAAGCTGTTGTCCCTGTTGAACTCGGATCTCCAACACACCGAGTAACAAACTTCTACGACAAAACCAACTCGGAAAATTTGAAAACCAACTTGGATCTCTTAGATGAAACTCGCCTTATGGCAGATCTCAAAAATGCTGCTTAGAAGTAAAGAAGT